TTGAAAAGCTCACAATTTGGCCAACCCCCTCTTCAAGACTTCCTTTGAACGGAAATAAATAATGACAGCCTTTTTTTTTTTTCCGTAAACAGTGGACACTGAAGACAAAGTAATAATCGGTTTTTTTTCCAAAGCTAATGCGTTGAATCAATTCGGGCCTAAGCCGGAAGGAGGTGATGAAGGAAACGTACTTGTTTCCACGGGTCGTTCGTGAAGTGGGATCAATACCTTAGCGTCTGGGATTCATGACTGTCGGAATCTATAAGACTTAAAATTGGCTATTTACCATGATACGGGTCTATTGAAATTACATACATTCCATTAAATCAAACCGCATTATTTTAGGACATGTTCTGTGTACAACAGGTGATTTCGAAAACGTGATGTTAAATTTTTTTTGTCCATGTAATGCCAATAAGTTTAAGAACTCGTTAACGGCAGACGTACAGCTAAGCCGAATTGGAACTTGAAGTGTTGGTTTTTGCGGAGAGCAGAAGCGGAGAACGTAAAGGAAATCCCTCAGAACACGGACGAGAAACAACATCTAATTATATAAGGTTCAAGCTTAAATTTATGATTTTATTTGCTAAGGGATTTCTTGCGCTTCTCACGGAAGTACTATTTTAGAATTCTCCTCTAATATAATCAATATATCTTGTGATTTAACAGAGAAGAGCAAAAATGGCGAGAAAAGCCCCTTGTCTACAAACAGTACATATAACTGGAACACAATTCTCAAAACTAGCAACGACTGAAAGGTTAGGCAGCAAGTAAAGAGAATTCATATTGAATCTTACAAAGATCTCGGTCATTAGGAGCTCTATGAATTTTAAAATTTTAAAAGTAGAAGGGGAGAGCCATATTTTATCCTGTATACAAAGAGTTTCTGTCCTTTGTTAAGTAATAACGAAGGACACGGGCTGTAAAGTAAAAGAAGACGAAAGTGGAATGACGATATAAGATCATGGAATATGAAGTGTTAGCAAAGATAGGTGGAATTTGGCTACATGTACAGACTGCGGTATCGGTCAAATATGGACCAAAAATGTTGCGGTTTTGTCCGAAACGGACCTCAGTGAGTAAACAATGTTCAAAATAGAATTTTCTGGCAGCCATTCAAAAAAAATTTTTTTTTTCTGCCATGCCAGTAATATCTATCGCAAACATCAACGTGTCAACTTGTTTACATCGCCAAAAACATCTTGAAAGAATGTCAATCGCATCAATTCTGAGCGGATTTTGTGTAATTGTATAATAGTTTTAATATTATGCCGTTCATTCTCTTATCCCTTTTTTAAAAAGACCTACTTGCCCCTTTGATGCAGTCACCATGGAAACAAATGATGTTGCGAAAGGCTGTTACCTTGGTTCTTTCTAATCATTGTTAAAAAAGAAAATTCAAACCTCGCACAGAAAAAGATCTACACGTGTTTAGCGAGTATGCAACTTGACTTTTTAACTCGTTATGGGAAGTACTTTTCCTTTTTTCTGGTTACCCAGTGGTGCCACATGCTCCTCTACGACTTTAAACACTATCACTTAGTTAAACATTTCTTGCAACATAAATTATCACCGACCCGTACAGCCTTCTCGTCGCAGTTCAATTCAGAATTATGTCTGAAGTGCATTTGACGAATTCGAAAGTTTTAGACTTAATGTTACTGAAAAACTTGCAATCACTATTAACGTACCCTTCACTCCTCCAAGTGATCAATAAGAAACTTCTCCTGGCAACATTTATAGATTATCCAGTAGCAAGGTGATGAGAATCAAAAAGAATATAACAAGGGGATTATCACTATATTTAATACTAGATTCTCAGAACTGCATTTATAAAAAATCAATGCCACACGGTAAGGAGAATTACTTCTGATATATTAGGAATGAAAGGGTTCATCTTGTCCATTCTCAGCGATCCTTGCTCATAATTGGTTTGTTGTATTCTTAATTCCTCTTTGTTTTTCTTCCCAGCTGAAAAATTATTTTGATGTTTTTTTTTTATTTATTTTCTAAAGGAATTTATCTGCGATTCCATTAACATTAATCAATCAACATATATTGTCTTGGGGTATTGTTTCTGCCGTGCTTTTTTCAGTTTTGTCTTGTTTTGGCCAGTTTTCATCATAGACAATCTAAACAACAGGCTGAAGTCATGCTTCTTTGAGCTGGAGTATTCCTGATCCGATTATCCTCAAAACAACCGTGCTTCTGGATTAAACTTAAACACAACATTTTCGACTCATTGATCTTTGAACGTAGGATGAAGATTTCTCAATGCTGCTGTTTGCGGCAATGCGGTTATTAATCAATGTTACCCATGGTTTTCTCATCCTGTTAACAATGTTTCCCCCGCCCACCCTCCCCCCTTGTGTAAGGAACAATGGTCACAACCAACATCCACATTTACGGTTATCTTCACTTCACTGTCATTCTTCTTTCCAGCGCTGGTCTGTGAAATCGTCATCAATTAAAAAAAAAGCTGAAGTAACTCATATCAAAAGATTTTAATTAAAAGAAGTTGTCGTCCGAGAGATTTCAGCCGATTAAAAGGGCACGTTTTTTTAAATTCTCAATGATAACATCTTGAACTTTTGACTGAATAATTAGGAAGTATTACGAATTGATATTTATCCCTATGAAACTGTTTATCCAATAGGGTTAAAAAAGTTAATTTTAATAGCGTTCCTGAACTGGAAAAAATTAAGTCCAACTCTTAATTCAGTTGGAAAACAGTTCTGCATCAGGCGAACTAAAGATGCCGCGAAATTGTAAACATAGAAGTAGTGAACACTTATACAATAGGAAACCATGATTGCTTCTGGCAGGAAGAGAGGGTCGTAATTGAAACACTGAAAATCACGAACATCAGACCTCGTGTCAAAATTTAAGATTTGAAAATATTCGATTGTGAGTATGTCGCTCTGGATTTTCTTCTAAAAGCTATAATCAACGGTTAATGCATACTTTACACTCCGTTTTCTGATGATAAACACTACATTACTTTTTAGGTTGCGCAATATTTAAGAAAATATTTCCAGCTGGGAACCACATCAATTTTTGACATGTAGAGCATAGATTTCCTTCAAGGTCATTGTTAAAAGGAGATGTTATTTACAGCTCTAACTTTCTAGAATTATGAACCAGGGATGAAGAATCAAAAGAACATATTTTTCTTAATCCAATGCATGCCTTGTGCAGGAGCGTTGCGTATTCATCTGGTTAATTTAACGTTCCATGTCAGAACGTGTGCGTCTCGGTTCACGAATTCTTGAACCTTCTCTTGTAGTCAATGCGAAAAGAACAATGCATCTCACGCCTTCTCAGTCAAATTAAGTTTTTCTTGACGCCTACGTGAGTTCTAAAACTTGTCTAAGAAACATTAACAGCTGGTGTACATTACTCACGTCACTAGTAATCACGAGATGTTTTCTAGTACTTGCATTTGGTTGATACAAAAATAGGAGAGCCAAAGAATAAATCTGCCAAACAAAGGAAAGCATTGTTTTTTAATAACTTACCAAAAGAAGAATCGTGCCATTTTGCACTTTATTTTGTCTGTTTAAACTAAACGCAAACTTTTATTAGTCAAAATACTTGTTGGCACGATATTTAATTTCCGTACGCCGAGGCATTACTGCGGTTAATGGACTTGTTGATATAATTCGCATGAGGTTAATTATGTAGGAACATCAGTTAAATCACAAGTCACGTCTTGTACCCGATACCTCTCTGAATGTATCATCGTGTAATTGCATTATGTCATTTTAGTCAAGAAAGTTTTCCTGTATGGTACTGTGAGGCTCTCTAAGGAAAATGCGGTTTTAATTTGGGATATCATGATCTATTTTAGGAGGGAAGACGGATAAGGCGACGCCCCTGTGCTTGCAAAACAATTTGAATTCGAACGTGATCAGATAAAATAGCTGAGCTGCATCCGCTTTCTTCTACGATCACCATCTGTAGAACTTTGCCATAAATACATCATCCTTGTACTTAAAGCATTCAAGGTGAGTGATCGTGCTTTTTTCCACTCTGCAGCTAATGAATTAGTAAAAACGAGAGAAGTCAAATTATTTTTCAACAGACTTCTAGGTCTCATTTCCGAGCAAAGTATTTTATTTGTTTGAGCTTATAGACACTTTTCAAGGGGAGCGTTGAACTGTCTTACAAATTCCATTTCCGCGAACACCAGTTTGTTTTTTTTAATTTTTAGACATTCTTCAAGGAATGTTGGACTCCATTTTTAAAATAGGACTGTTTTAACAAACAAAGTCATTTGATAACCAATGATAAACACATTTCATTCGCATGAAATTACATCTGCAAAAAGAACTTTGAGAGCAAATTAGTGTTAATAGGCTCAAAAGGGCTATAAATTACATTTTTTTAATCTGGGTAGCAAGTTTTTAACTATCGCGGGTGCATGTCACAACATGATGGCTTCATAATAGTATGAATTCAGAATTTCCAATATTTGAATTAACGGTGAATTATTCAATAAGGTTACATCGTGGAGAGCTACTTCAGCTGAGTCTGCTTACTCGGTAAAGCCGAAGACTGACCAAAGCCTATAACGTCTATAAGAAGGTGGTGGAAACATTAATGTTTCAGAAGTCTGTTCCTAGGGAATTTTGGGGTGTTGAGTTCAGCAATTCGAAGAATAAACAAGGGATCACACGACGTTCTAATGGGAAAAGTGTGATACCCTGTTCAAAATAGGATCGGCTGGACGTGCCCTTGAGGATAAGCTGAGGTGTACGTTGTAGGGATGGACAACAGATTACTGTAAACTCAGCGGTGAAAAATAGAATCAATCATTCTCCAATCTGCTTTGACCGAAGGTTAAGATGCTTCCTGTTTGTCGATTGTAGGTTACCTAAGATTGATTAATACCGGTCATGTACCAAAAACGAAACATTGGTATCCTTTTATTTTTCTGATCAATTTTTAAACTCGTCATCTGTTCGCCCCTATATTTTCGTGAGGAGATGAAAGAAATTGATCATCAAAAACCGTAAGTTTAGCATAATAATTTTAAGGCTATGTGAATCTTATATCTTGGACCTCTGCGATTTCTCTACAGGGATAAATATGTTTTGTTTAGTTGTGCTTGTCGTGGAATTCCTTCTTCTCACTAAGCTCAAGGCGTCACCGACAGAGAATTGTAACGCAGTAGTCTCCAGTACTTGTTTACAACAGTGCAGAAATAGGTCCCCATGTAGATGCGGCTTCACATCCGGGGATTCGCGTTATACCACGTGCAACCAGACCTGCCACGACTCCAGCTGCAAGATCATGACGTGTTCATCTGGGACTTGTTTCCAGCAATGCCGTGACTGTCACATGGAGTGTACAAGTGGCGTGGATTTTTGTAGCCAGCGGTGTCTTTCTGGAGCATGCTCTTTTGTGTGTGAAGCTAAGAGCTGTGTTCAAGAGTGTAAAGGACAGGAATGTGATCATGAGCACGTGACCCCAATATGTCGAACCATTATTCCAAGTGTTTATCTTTTGGTGCTGGCGGGTCTCTTCGCGGCGACCACCATTTTGTCTTTCTGGGCGCTGATGTTGTCATTTAGAGAAATGAAAAATTGGGATAGGCGGGAAACCTATTTCAGAGTTAAAAGCAACAGTAGCAGTCTTGACAGTCTGTGTTCTGTAGATTTAAAAGATCCTTAAAGAAAAACCAGTCACAATCATAACTTGGAGATTCAGAGTGAGAGACTGGGGCGATAGATTCTATTAACCCGCGCGTGACATTATGGTGTGTGTGACTGCGTCGAACTGATAGTTGGGCAGTTTAATTAGTGAACCATAGTCAGGATCGTGACCAGCATTGAATGCGTGACAATGTATAGTAAGCGCACCGTTACGGTGATTGAGAACTCTTGCGTAACCAGCTATGTCATTGAGAGAAAGACTGGTGAGACCACGCGAAGGAGTCTTATAAAACATCATTAAGAAATTAAAATAAGTTTAAACGTAAATTAAAACTATAAATGATTGATTTGATAAGGCGAGTAACGCAATAGTCCTTTTACCACGAATAGACGATAAAGTTAATAATAAAATGTACTCCTAGTAAAATGATTACGATAACGAAGTACATTCACAGAGCATCCTACTGCATTTTTAAACCTTCAATTTCTAAGATGTAATTGTCCGTTCTCCCGTTTACCTGTCACACGTTTTCTTGTAAGGCAGTTTCGAGAAGTTGGTGTTAGATCAAGATAAGATCTACCTGAGAAGTATGAATATTCTCATTATCTGTTTGCTGAATATTGAACAGATGTTACGAGGAGAAATTACATGTCAATCACTTCTAGGAGTGAAAGGGTTAACTTAAGGATTGACTCATACAAGGTACCATTTTCAATAAAAAAAGGGTCTGCTTTGGACATGAATTTTGTCACGACGCCTCTCGATTCGATTACCAGGCTCGTGCACTGGCCGCTGTTTGTGAAATGAGGATGCGCTCATGATGCACGGATGAGTTAATCATAGGAAGTGTTTTTCATTCAAAAAAAAGAAACAAACAGACACAGCAGGGATTTCCCCCAATAAGGTCATCTTTTTGCTTGTTTACTCCATACAGCTCCCTTTAATTAAATCCATGATAACATTTTCAATCCATATTTTCATCTTTCCACCCTCATGAGCCTCTTTAAATCTTTGTAATTTTGTTTTGTCTGCTGCCTTTAAATGTTATCTGTTCCATGTTATATGCACAATCCAGCGAAACCCAATTTCTGCAATGTCATTTTTGCTCTCCTGTTTGTGGAACATGCTATAAGTCAGATAAGTGTTTATCTCGCTGCGCTCATACAATGTGATAGTTCTTGCTGATGCCCATATATGGTCATGACTTGCAACAGGACAGACTGTCTGAGTCGAGCTTTACTTGCTTAATTCCTTCCGCCAATATTAAGGCACGCTAACGCCATGCAGAGGACAAAATCTATTGCAATTTTCAACAGATCTACATCACATTTTTGCATCTCTATATGAACATAACTTGAGAACGCTTTCTCAGTCAAGTCGTGCCATGATTAGACCGAATAAACAATGCACTCCCCAGCTGTCGCCAATTTTACTCGCAGCTTGACGCATTGTAAAAATATCATTGTGTAATATTTTTCCATTGAAAATATTATTTACACAAAGATTTTAAGTCCAGCTGCGAATAGAATCACATGGATACTCTTATATACCTCCTCTTAATATTCGTAAGTAGATTATTTTTCACTCTCCGTTAGCTGTATAAACATCAAGGCAATGTTTTTCTACATAGGTGCAAACAATACTTTCTTATAGCAATCGCGCTGGTCATTTTAACTTGTTTTCCCAGGCTCTAGGTCTCGCCTAAACCGACAAATTACTTGAACCTGTGAAACAGTTCTGTCAAAGGATTCACGCGGTACTTGTAAGTTCGTCCACATTGTAAACAAGGTAAGTTCCTTTAACACACACTTATTATTGTCGAAGAGAACTACTGTATTATATTCAAAAGCTAACCAGGTTCAATCAAGACTAGGGCTTCACAACAAAGTTTATACGTGAAAGCTCTCTCCCGAGCAAAAACTTCGCGTGGGCAACGATCTCTAGGGCGTTAAAGGGGAGGTGGCTGAATAAAACCATTAACTTTTTTTTCTTTTTCAATACTTACCGTGACCTATGTCTGGATGACAAATGCTCTCAACAAATCCGTACTTCAAAATGAAGCCAGTTTTAAGGCCTTTTGTATCCAGGGTCAAGTCCACACTGTATCACGCGGCAACAAAAGGAATTCTTAGACTAAAAGCACCTTCCCCTCTTCCAGTTTACGAAAACAACGCTTATGGACGAAAAAAAAAGAAGCAAATGCAGACATAGCAAGGGATTATAGAATAATATTTTTGGGTCAAAGCCAGACAAAATCGAGCAAAATCGGCAGATTTTTATGAAATGAGGTTGTTTACGACTTGTAATATGGTGTAACGTTACCCAGATATTCATTCTCCCAAGTGACTGACTCTCCTTTGTAATAGACATAATAGTAGTCTAAGAATGAACTTGGGATGTAGACGCGCTGAGCTATATATGCTATGTAAATTATGCGTTTGTGGACCGTAAAATATAACATAAACTGAAAGAGTGACCTTAGACCAAAAAATGTCAACGGAACCTTAAACCAATAAAAAAGGGAGGAAGATTAATTGCTAAGAAAGTGACTTAAAACTTAATATTTTACCGATGGGCCCCTTCATCCTGATTTTTTTCAGGATAAAATTAAAGAAATTAAATTATGAATTGTCTACAAATAAATTTATATTGTTTGCAAATTATATCATAACCTGAACAAGATATACCTGGATTAATTTTAAAGACTAACCTTAATGATACCTCTGATTAAATCAGGTGAGAGAGGATCAATTATCAGAAAGATAAATTAACACAGATCTGATCACATTGTGCTTTTCTCTTCAAGAGCTAGCGTTGGAAAAAGACGCATACGATCGAAGGAATAATGTTTGTGGAGATGGTAGCGTGAAGCTTACAGTTTCAATCTCAATAGGGGTGTAGTGAATTGGGGAGTTCGAAAGTACCTGGATTTCAGAATCGCGGTTTCCGGTCACGCATTACATATTATTGTCAACCAGATTCACCACAATGAATCCAAAAATAGGTCCCGTGTCAATAACAGGAGATTCCCAGTCCATGAGCTAATAAAGTTTTTATTATTTTGGCCTTTCTGGTTATTTCCGAATCAAGCGTTAGATCAAAGAAGGTGTTATGCGGTCGGAGTAGTCAATGGAAATTGAGTAAGAAGCTGGAAAAGAGATTAGTATTTAGCAGATTTTGAAACTGGTTCCAACCTAGATTTAATCATTGTATAAAATTTACAAATCCATTACAATTCAGTGAGAGACCCTGCTCAGGTAATCCTCGTCACGTCTGAAATGATTGAAAACAGGTCAAACAGGTTTTTATCCTAATAATCAGTGATAAAAGACCCACAATTTTCAGAAAGTTCAATAGTTCCCATTGTTGACACGTGCGATTACGGAGGCAATTTTTCTAGAGAACTACTGGCTTTGTCACGAACAACAAGCACAGCGAAAATATAGGTAAGAGACATGACGGTTTGTGTTATGAAAGATAAAATATAATCTCAGTTTGCCTCTTAAGGTAAATCCAAACTATGGCTTAAAAGTAACCCATTCGTTTCAGAATTGCATGCGCGCAGCTTTGGGGAAGCCGCTGGTAACAAGTAAACGGCGTCGGAGATTAAAACAATTTTTGGATCCTGGAATCAACTTTGCGACAAATCTTCCGGTATCGACAATTTTTGTTTTTAATTTTAACGCGCAGATGGCTGAAAACAGATGGCAACAAGTGCAAATTTTGCCGTTTTCCGTCAACGTTTATAAAACCCTGTCTAGAAAATCAAGGTTAATTGCCCTTTTAACTCGCTCATAACCCACTTTTTATCTGGGATACCTCTGTCAATGAGTAGCATTGATGTAGCAATGATGAGTCTTATGCAGCCCCACCTTCAAGGCACCTCGTTGTTACTGCACTTTCTAGGCTCAGTTAGTATTTTAAATAATTAGGAATCTCTTCATTACGTACTCGTTAAAATAAAATGGGTAAAGGCACTGCCTACTCTGAAACAGAAAACAAATTTTTATTAACTGAGGCAATGCATTGCAATATAAGTGTTGCACATATTGCCGAGCTAATGATAAGAAGCATGAGCTGTCTACATATAGGGAATGGCCTCGCGAGGATGAACGGACGAACTGCAATATAATATACACTGAAAACTACAGGCATGTGTTGGACTTGATTCCGTGTAAATAATCAGTGGATCAATTAAGTTTTACATTGGAAGACTATAATGCATCGCGTGCTACTGTATTCATATTCACTTTTCTATACAGAGCAAGGATTAGGTTAGAGTTCCTTGTTTTTCGTTTCGTAGCATCAAGACAATGTAACAGAGCATAAATCGTGCAGCTTTTACCAACGATAATTTAAGGGGCTGGTTTGATTACACGTCAAATTGAAGCATTCCTCGAACTCAAAGGTGTACGAAAAGATCATGATTTTCTACATCACCTGGTACGGTTTCAGGTAACATAGCCCCCGGCATACAAGATCAACCTTGCACCCATGCCCAGACTACCACAGGTTGATTAGCATCTGAAACAAAATATATTTTCTGCCTCAACTCTGCTATGAAAAGAACATGATCCTATGAATCTCACGAGATTCAAACAAGTCAATCAAATTCACATTCCATCATGTTTCGTTTAAAAAAGCTGAGGAAGCTTAACTCAAATGAACTGTAAATCAAAGTATGATATACCCCAAGAAATTAACATTTCATTGCTTCTCCGAACGATGATTTAGAAGTCTTAAAATGATTAATAATGCTAAAGAACCAGTTACTGTTTGCACGGGCAAAGAGGACCGGAAAGGGCGAGACCCATGATGAAAGTCACGCAACTTGTGTCTCTTTCGCATCTGACTAGCAGTGAAACAAATTTGTCAACTCCGATAAGCTAAAAGCACAAACAGCAGGTAGAGAGGTAAAATGAAAAGTGAAATTTTAACGTTTATCTCTCACAGCATTTTAAAAGTAAACCAAACAGACAAGAATAACGAGACAATAAGAGACATCTGATCTATTTGATCTTTGCATAAACTTGTCAGTTAATGACTAAGGAACCATAAATAGAAGTAAAAATAAAACTCCAAATTATAGAGAAAAATATATTTTCGAAATTTCTTTAGGACGTGATATGAAGTTAATCACACTTATGTCGTATTACTCGTCATTTTACAGCTTTCCTGTTTTCTTGGAAAACGTTTTCCGTCTCAAAGACTATCAGACAATGAGTTGCTGACGTCGTAAAGGGGTTTTCCCTCCGATAGGCTTGATTAAGCACTTTCATTTTCTTTCCCCGCCTACTAAATTTAAAGATTTTGCGACGCACAATTCCACAATCACAAACAAACTGCCTGACAAACTTCAAGCACTGACACGCTCGGACGCCGTGTGGAAATTTCATTTGGAATTATTCTGCAGATGTTCAATCACACTCTTTTAAGAGGTTGGTATTCAAAATCGTTCTTGAATAAGTTTTAAAAATAGCCTTGGAGCTTAAAACCCTTGCAATTTGTTGTGGGTTCAGAAAGACGCAAAATTCTATCGAAAGTGGTAATTAAAGTCAACCTTTGGATGGCAATCTTTCCTTGGTGTAGTATATCATTTAAAATAATCCCAATCTACATCTCGGTTCTTAAATTAAAATGTTCATGAGGACACACACTTAATGCCGTTGGCCATTTTATGATCTTTTGTCCGCGTTTATCTCTAATTCGTCGGAGGATGATTAAGCAAAAGAAGCATAAAAATCCATAATGTTTGTACCAACCAGACAAGTCACTGCTTATTTCTTTTGGACACGGTACAACATGGCAAAACGCCGAGAACTTTCTAAGTGTCAAACACTTCTGTTCACCGCACGTGACATACAAACTGTTTTCAAAATTCAAGCCGAAACTTGTAAGTAACAAAGTGATTTATGGCAAAGATTTAAAAACTAAGGATGTGAGGCAATGTCTTGTAACAAAATCAGAATTACAAAAAGATGTCTTTCTCTCTTGTAACGAGCGCCGCTCAAACAAACATAACGAATTCAACCTCAGAGCTTCGGTTTCCGCGCTAAGGCTGGATAAAACTTGAACTTGGATGTTGCGTTCGCCCCAGGGTGTTCTTTTTTACTCTGACTGAACCCTTTAGGCCAGGAAATACTTCAAATTTTCATCAACTCTTGTCCCTTGCCTGATTTCCCCCACGACAACACGGAACGCGGAACTTAATTAGTTCAGTGATAATCGTGCTGATTAAACCCTTTCAAATGCGCAATCATCACGGTTTCAATTGTCTCAACATTGTAAGTTAATGCGTACACTTTTTTTTCCCTTTACAGTCTTCAAGATGTTCTGTCATATTTTGATCGTGGTTACAATTTTTGCGGCGAAAGAAGCAATGGCGACTGATAGATGCCAGATGGTAATCTCAGGCACTTGTATTCAACATTGCCACAACCAATCATGTGACTGTGGCGTAACAGACAGTAACCATGGCTACAATGAATGTTACCAAGCCTCCGCAGGTTCTAAATGCAGAGCAATCACGTGCTCATCTGAGACATGCTATCAGAAGTGTCACAATTGTCACATGAAGTGTACCAGTGATGTTAGTTTCTGTAGACAGCGGTGTTTGTCAGGAGCATGCTCATTTACGTGTGACGCTCAACACTGTGAACAAGAATGTACTGGAGAGAACTGTCAGAATACCGTCTTTGACAACTGTCATCTGATCTTGCCGCTAAATTACCTAGTGATATTGGCGGGAATTTTGTTCGTGATAAGTATGTTGGCGTGTGTGCTCCTTGTCATGTCTTTTAGAAAAAAGGATTGCATCCCTGATTGCTATCCACAGCCGCCACCCTACTCAAAGATTTAGACTGAGAACTTTCATGAAGGGATTTCCTTACATTAACACAGTTTGCCCACAGGTTTTTGTTAACGGAGGAAAAGCACCAGCTCCGCCCATCCAAGTTGCATTTGACAAATTGTGCTGTTCATAGCATAATATGAACAAAAGAAAAAGAACATTGTTGACTTAACACCATGTTTATAGTATGATATGAACAGAAAAAAGAACGTAACAAAACCGGCTGCTCACCATGTTTATAGCATAATATAGACATACCAAAAGAAAACTGAACATTTCCCATCATACTTGTAATGAGTTGTTTACAAGTTGTCAAAACTAAACAAAGAGTAGTAAGCACTATATTTATTATTTTACGACGCACATTAAAGACAAGTAGAAGTCATGTCATAGAAGAAGTGTTTGTTCGTTTTAGTATTTCTTACTGAAAACACTCCTCGCCAATCCATAGTTCATTAGTAATAGCTCAGGTTATGTGTCGTACATGTACCGGGTCACTCTGGCCCAGGCCTTTTACCGAGCCTTGAGGGGTGACACTTTGTGTCATTTATTGATTACAGTTTTTCAACTTTGATCAAATACTGTTATGATAATTTGGATGTTCCAGATGATTAAGTGATATGGTGGGTTGAAGGTCTGACAAAGATTTCACCTCATTTAAAAAGGACACCTTAAAAATTTGTTGCTACCTAAACAATCTCATCTTGTTCGCATGTGGATCTACAGCTTAGACTTGGCAGGCTTTGGCTGAATTTCTCTTAGTTTCATAGCCAGGCCCATATTTCCCTTGATCTTGATCTTGCCTTGAAAAAAAGCCTGAATAGCAAACAGGGAAGCTGTTTAGTTTAAAGGTTCGGAAATTCGTCTGGTTCATTTTGAACTGATGCGCATGACCATCATTCGTTGCTCTTATTGTATGTTTAAAGCAAAATGTTGATAAATTTCAACTTACCGATTGTGGATTCATTTTACCAGTCATTATCTTAACGAAGTCTTCGTCATTCATAGTTATTGTACAGTCAGCTTTATCTGTGAAAGTGTTAAAAAAGGTGTGTCAAACAACCAATCTGATTAAAGAAGATGAGTTCCTAAAAAAACTGTGCTGCTGTGTCGGAGGGGGTATAACGAGATAATTGGGTTTATCAACTGAGTTGATAATGTAAATTGACCACCGAAAAGAGTTTCTAAAGCTGCCGTTTCGAGAGGTAGCCCTTCGTCAGAGCGAGCGAGCAATCTGATTGGCTACTCCCACATTTACTACTCGTTGATACCAGATCCTTAAAAGGCAATGTGCGATCTAGTGCATCATGACCAAAAGCGGCAAAAAGGCTTTATTGACAGTTTCTAATGAGGAGCGTGGCAAATGACTTTGAAGTACCTATTTCCTGAATGAGACACTTCGTTCCTCTACAGCTCTTAGGCTGTTAAGGTATGCCAAGTTTTCCAATTGAATTGAGAACCAAAGCTATCAAATGTCTTCACTTGAGTTAAGAAAGAAATAGAGTACTTGTTACTATAGTTAGCTTACAAGTCTCATCTGGCACAAAGCAAAGCTCTCGTTTATACTCATAAATAATTCAAACAAGGTGACTTATCCTTAAAACCATGTCCACTTTAGTGAAGTTTAACTTTACAGCACTCAAGGACTACGTTAAAATTACAAATTAAGAATCCTGAAGAGTGTACCTGAGCCTCTATATTTCAAAGCCCCATCTCCATTCTTAGCATCAACAATCCACCAGGTTTCTTTTCCATCAGAATTTTTGATGTTGAATCTGTAAACTCCTTTAATTTTCTTTACAAGTAGAGGGCCTTCCTAAGTGAATTAAAAAGACGTTTCCAAGTATCCTGCTTGTAGACTTATTTACAAACAATTAAACCAAATAGGAATGTGACTGTAGAGATTAAACTTATGGAATTATGGCACTTGTCACAAAATATTTTGGAAAGATTGCGTGACAAACTCTGTGTCCATCGGCACTTCACCTTAATTGGAGAGATTAAAAATTGCTGTTAAAATTACCTAGTCTTGTCCGAGGATTCAATACCCTAGTGAACCCCACTATATTCCTAAAAGTTGACTTTGGGAGGGAGAGAAAGTCCTATGTGACAAAAATAATGATGGCTATAGAGGAGACCACAAATTGAATGACTTCCACATACCCCCTTCAGCTTCTTTTCCATCTCTTCAAATATTGCAGCTGCCTTGAAATCTTCTTCCTTGACTGCTGAGGTATAAGAAGGTACTGGGCGATACCTTGTTTTTAAGAAAACAATCTTTATTAGTTCTGTGGTTTCCAGTCACAAGTAAAAATTTCAATTTATATTGAGCTCTCACCTCCTTTGATTAGGAAATCCAAGTTGATACAGAGCCACCACTACAGCACCTCCCAATCCAAGGTTATGCTGAAGAGCCACCTTGGCTCCAGGTACTTGCCTCTTACCACACTCACCCCGCAGCTGTTTGCAAAGCTCTGTACACTGTGCTAAACCTACAACAACAACAACAACAACAACAGATATCTGGTGAAATTTGCAAAACTCAAGCCTCATGCAACATTTACTTGTATCTCAGAAGATTACCTGTAGCCCCCAGAGGGTGACCTTTAGAAATGAGTCCTCCACTTGGATTTACAACCCATTTGCCTCCATAAGTGTTATCTCCTCTGTCTACTAATTCCCCTCCTTTGCCTAAGAAAAGGAAAAAAATCAATTGCAGATTTTTCATCCCACTGCCACCTTCCCTCTGTTCTTAATAAAACATTGTAGTACATTCACAATCACAATCACACTAAGTCTTTAGATATCAGTGTTGATTTACAACATTCACTTTATGAATTGAAATTGGTTCTTTCACTCTAATTGTAATATCATATTACTATGTTCCACGGTCTGTGTTAGAATTTAACTTTTCTATGCAAGCACCAGATAGCAAATACTGAAACTGTAACCCATCATACCTTCAGAGCAGAGGCCAAGTCCTTCATAGGTGAGGAGCTCATTGGTGGAGAAGCAATCATGAAGCTCTACAACTTGGACATCATTGGGTGACATGCCTTCACAAATAACAAAAACAGACATAGAAAGTTGATAAAATTGCTCTAGAAAATAAGCCCCAAAATCCTCCTCCAATAAGTGAGATCTCTCTGAACAGCATTTCAGATAACCTTTCAAATGAAAAAAGTATAAAATGCCAATAGTGGACAGTATATGTACCACATACCTGTCTTCTGAAACAATTTCTTGGCAGCAACCTTAGTCATATCATAACCAACCTGCAAGAAAACAAGCTGAAGTAATTATTGGTTCAAACAATCAAAACATCAATTCTCCTTAACAAATAGCAATTGATAAACCTTTAGCTGGTTATTCTGCTTACAATTTAGTGCAACACATAAAGTAGTGTCCTTAATTCTGACTTTCTCTTTCCTTGCATATTAACACCTCAGCTCCCAGAGGTGATTAACATTTAACTTCTCCCAAAGCAAAAGTTGCTATCTTGATCTAACACCAAATTCTCAAAACTAATTTACAAGGAAATAAGTGGCATCTAGACGGGAATATTAACAATCAGATCTTGGGTTTTTAAGGGCTGAACACTGATTTTAAATGCATCTCATTTTTTTACTAAAGGTGTTACTGAAAGTAATACTGAAAAAGTTAAGACCTACAGCCACATCGGTCAGAAAATAAGGGTACAATTACAAGACAAAGATTGTTGGTGTCTTAGTTCTTTCTTCTACTATTTCAACAACTTAAAGGTATTAGACTAAAAAATTCTAAGAGCTCATCATCAAGTTTTCTATTCTTTAATGTAGTATATGATGAAATAAATTTCCCAATTACCACTTTAATTGAACTGTTTTCCTGGAAAGTGCTCACAAGATCTGTTGCCATTTCCATTCCAAGAATCTCAACAGCTTTACTCTCAAGCCCATGTTTCTTGACAAACTCTTCACTGGCCAAGATGGCTGCTGCACTGCCATCTGATGTAGGACTAAAAGTTAATGTACAGATCAATCAGTGCAATATTGTTACATGTAGAATCAGATCCACAGCTTGTTCACTGCTTTCTTCTTTACAATTTGATGATCCTCAAAGAGGATTGATTCACCAATTGAAAATAAACATGTTTATCATTCTTGGTAAACTGTGGCACTCCAACATTAACAGATTGAAATCACTTCTGTTTTAAGTCTAGTACATTTTTTTTTGACATGATAAGTGTTTTGATTATTTCATACTTAAGACAGATCCATAGATAATGTCCCCATTAACCCTTTAATTCCTAAGAGTGACAAGGTTCTAATTTCTCCTTACAATATCACCCCTGAATTAAAGGTTTACGTCATGAGAATAAAGGAAATGATCAGCTACTAATGAAGCTCTTGATGGTTCTACAAATTCTTCCTGTTAGAACCAAGGAAATGTAAAGAGAACAGTATGGAGAATATGCATAGTGATGCTAGGGTGTAAAGGGTTAAAAACAACATAAAACAAATAGATTTACTGATGCCAAGTCTGAATTTATGAAATAGCCCAGGCCATTTGACTTTAGCTATACAAGCATTGACAGGTTACTAACAACAATTACAGAATGTGGCTTACCAGCACTGAAGTTTTGTCAAAGGGTCAAACACCATAGGAGAGTTCTTAATCTCTTCCAAAGTGTACTTTTTCCTGAACTGAGATAAGCTAAAATAGGAAAGACAGAGAAATGTTATTGTTTATAACTATACCTCATTATTGATATGCGGCAATCAAATGTTTCCAGTGGGAGATGTAGTGGCCTAATGATTTGTGCGCTTGATTCTGGGTTGGTCATTCTGTTGTGTTCTTGGGCAAAATAGTTTACTTTCACAGTACCTCTCCACCCAGAAGTATAAATGGGTACTGACAAATAGTCAGGGAAGTTTGATGAAATGCTGGGGGTAATCTTGCAATGGACGGACATCCCATCCAGGGGAGTAGTGGTATTATTCCTAGTCACTTCCAGCTATGGAAATTGGCATAAGCTCTGGCCTGATGAGCTACTTGGCTTAAGTACAGACTTCACCTTGACAAAGTTTCATACCCTGACTAGACAGTATTATGGTGTTACTCTGATTTCCATGGGTAACAAACAAAATTTATCCAACACACAAAATTTGCAGTATAAGATGACACAAAGCACGATTTACTCACGGATTATCAACAGAGTGAAGATGGTTCTTGTAAGCAATTTTGGCAAAATGGTCCATTGTGGTTCCTGTTTGAAGTTGAAAAATTTTTCACCAACTATCACAGGCTCTTAATCAACACTGGCTCCTAAAGGGGCTTCCAAAATGTATTTTAACTTGGATTTTTTCTCGTCAAAGGCTTGCACTGCATTTCAATTTTAATAAGTACTGTACATTGTCTCTGTTGAGACAGAATTGTTTAAATAAATAGTTTTAAGCCTTAAACCCCTAAGAGTGATTGACATCTAATTTCTTCTTACAGTATCACTGCTTAATCCAACATTAAGGTCATGAGAATAAAGGAACTGATCACTAAATGAAGAATCTCCTGATAGTAGAATTGTATATTGACAGAGAATAGTATGGAGAAGATGGATACTGATGTTAGGGTGTGAAGGGTCAAATAAGTAAATGTAGCTCTAGAGGCAGAGAATTCTTTTCAGATAGTTAAGACCTGTTATAAATCAATTATTACAAAAACTCACCATATTTTTCCATATGTTCTTTACCCGCATTTCCAAACAACTGAGGAGTTATGGGAGCAGCAGCCAGGCCATGTTTATTGATCACAACTTCCAAATGTTTATCCATTGGTGGAGTGCGATCTTTGAACTACCAAGTACATTACAAGAAATTGTGTCAAGTGCAATACATATTGATTTCAAAAAGGGTTGAAAGAAGGCTTCTTATTTTCTCAGCACATTTCTAGCTATATGAGGTTATAAAAATGCATTTCACAAATATATGTTCTAAGGAAGCAAGCAGTCATTCCATTTTGTAACCTTTTGTGTACTCTCAAACTATATATTGTGATTCAAATATGCTAGATCAGGCCATTGGACAAAGGAGAAAACAACACATGAAGCTATGTGGGTTCAACTTCAAAAGGGAAACCACAACTACTATATTACAGGGGCCATCAATTTGAGGTAAAAGGAAAAATGTTCAAGGAAAATAGATCCTCAGCAGATGCCAACCTCATTGTTCTAAGTACAATGAAACAGAAAGATTTACTTTGAAACTTTACACAAAATTAGTATGCAATGTACTTACATTTGCTCCAAGGGATCCTTTCTGCATTTTCTCAAATCCTAAAGCTAAAACACAGTCTGATGAACCTGTAATGGTTTGAATGGCACAATTAGGGTTCACCTAACCATTTATACATACATCATACAGCATGAGGCCTGTGTGTTATTGGTTGAGAGGGTATCACTCACAGGGCTGTATGTGAAATGAGTGGGTACAGCTGTGGCCAAGATGCATGAAATCTGGAAGGGAGGTACCTGGGTAAATTTTTCCTATGTATATGCTGCTAGCCTTTCAAAAAAAAAACCCCACACCATTTTAAGTCTATTCTATGGCTAATTACATACCCCATCTTGGTCACTTTCCTTAATATAGTAACATCTATTTAACTGCAAATCTTCCCAGTACTAAAATCCCTATTTACCAGAATTTTCTTACTCCCAAAATCTCAAAAATTGGAAATGCAACCTTATTATAGTCAATCCTGGCATGAAAATGCCACCCAGTGGCATATCCCCACAAGCCTATTATTAGGAAGTGCCTCACCCCCCACCCCACCCCCCTCCTCCCTGGGCTTAAAATCATACACAAGATAAATGATCAAACAAATGAAGGTCAGCTTTGGTTTGGTTGGGCTTTGCCAGACAAACATGGTTCATGAAGGATTGTACGTTCTTGGAAAGGGTTCATACTATACAAGAGCTGTTAGGTTACATAGTATGCAATTAATTCCAATTTATTTTTTTATGTACACAGCTATAAATATTATTTATTTACAAATTTGAACTGTACCTCCTTCAACAAGCTGCTTGGCCAAATACAATGCACTGGAACCTGTAGCACATGCATTATTTACCTACAAAAAAGTTTCCAGATGCAACTTTAAATTCATTACTTAATCTTTTTATTTGTTTTTTCATTTTTTATAGCATTAAGTACTCATGTTGAATATCAACTTTTTCACTATGGGGCAGAATTTTCCAAAAATAATTTTTGCATTGTTGTGGAACAGTGAAAACAATAATTCCCAGGGTCTGTATAAATGAAACATGATTCCAAATATTATTAAACATTACCAATTCTACCAACTTCTACTTATGTCAAAGTTATTAGTTAGTAGTCAAATAGAAATAAAATATCCTATGGCTGAAATGACTAACATTGTAAATTGGAATTCCTGTGAGACCGAGTTGATAGAGTGCTCTTTGTCCGCAGGTTGAATCACCTAAAATTTAAAAATGAAGTCCTAAACAATTAAGAAAAATCATTCACTTGCGATATTTTAAAGGTCAATTTGAAATAAAACAACTGAAAGAAAGATGCCAAAATATTTAAAGTTACTAATGAAAAATTAATTAAACTAGATAGAGGTTTAGGAAAGTAATTAGTTACTGTATTACATGTATGTGTGCACTGGAATGAGAAATATTTTTCCTTACAGTGTATTGTGATAAAATACACAATCATGGAATTCTTGGGGGAACCTTTTTAATGAGAAGGAGAGAAACTCACCATAACAGTAACCTACTACAGCTTGGTCTATTTTACCATAATCCAGGCCTGCATCTTTAAGGGCTTTTGTTCCTGAAAACACAAAAATAAACCATTTCAAACAAGACATCAGATTACCAATAGGCTATCAACAAAATGCCACCAGTGGATAAATTGTAAAAATATACCTTCTACCTATAAGGTATGCCACCCAAGTGAATAACCAATGAGCTTTTCAAAAATGCTCAATATACTTATTGAAACCGCTAAAATGCACATAATTTTTGCAATAGTTAAGGGGGGAAAGAGGAAAACCAAAGAACTACTCAACCCTATCATATGACCCTCCATCAATCAATAGGGCAACACATTCAAAACTTTCAATGATTGCAGTTTGAGTAACTCCAACAAACCTGCTTCTCTGGCCATATCAGGGTAGTCAAAATCTTCTCGACGACCAGGTTTTTCGAACTAGTGGAAAAAGTAAAAATTATGATTTAAATGCACTGCCCCAAATAAGTGAAAATATGTCAGAGATAACTAAGTTAAAAGGTACAGTTTCTATTTTTTTAATTTATTTTTTTTTATTTTTCTCAACATACCTGTAATCAAATCATCTTAGTTTATCATTTTCACCCTTGGTTAATCTCTTCCATACCAAAATTAAAACTTTTTTCTTCACAATTTACTTAACCCCCTGACCCCTTAGAGTGACCAACATCTAATTTCTCCTTACAATATCACCCCTCAATTAAAGATCATGGTTACAAGATAAAACACATTATCAGGTAGTAAACTGAGGCGTAAAGAAGCTCTTGATGGTTTAAGAATTCTCCTTATCATCACTTTAGATAATGTAAGGTGAACAGTATGGAGAATATAAATACTGATGTTAGGGTGGAAAGGGTTAATCAAGACCTCTATTACAAACCCTCATTTTGTAAATAACTTCTTTAAACATGCAGGAACAACAACTTTGACGTTTTGATAAACATCAAGTTTCCACAAGTTTAGGCTTAATCCCCGATGTTTCATCAAGATGGAAAAACAAAAAAATTATTACAGCACACCTATGCCTTTTTTCAAAAACTTCTAAATAAATATTGGACCAGGTGAGACAAACTTTGCACACAAACAGTGATGGCAACATACGTAGCAGCAAGTTGAGCAAGACTTCAAAATTAGTTATGTAAGAAATGTTCATATTTTGGGAAAATTTCAGCGCGGAACTATATCCCTTTACTAACCTTAGTCATCCCCACTCCAACGACATAGACTTTCCTGCCCGTCATTGTAGAAATGTAGGAAAATATTATAAAAAGGAAAGATCACCACAGCTGATCGAACTTGTGGAAACGGGTCAGCATTAGATTCCATCCACCAAAACCACCTTGGTCGAGAGGGACTGGGA